TATATATATGTTAACAGTAAAGTTCAGTTTGTTCTTTTTCAGGAATCAGGGGAAAGAGGTTGCAGAAATCCACTGCACCTCTAAAAGTCATCATCAGGCCTTTTCTAGGAAGTGTTTATTACCTAAAGACTGAGCTGGAAGTCATTACTCCAACATGTAGCCTGAAGAGCTCGACTCACGCTCAGAGTCATGCACATATGTCCGCTCAAGGCAATCAGATGCAGGTGATGCTAAAGATGAGCGGAAGGAAGGATCCTAAAGAGGAAAAGAGGATGGAGACATTAAAGTGAGGTACACTTAATGATGCTGAGGAGGGGATCAGAAAGCAGAAGCCCACGTGTGGATCTATGTGGAGTCTAATGGAACTGGTAAGTCTGTGCTGTCTGGCCAGGCCCTCAGGTGATGCCTCAAGGAAATATGTTTCTGTTTATCTCATCGGTACTTTTCCTGTCGTACAGAACTGTGGAATACCTCTGTTTTTCCATTGACACAATAGTATACTTTTATTTCCTTTAAACAAATAAATGTTTCTAACGTTTATGGACTTCTTGGAAGGGGTTCAGTTCTGTGGTCTCAGGATTCCGTTTCTACTATTAGCAGATGATGTGGTCCTGTTGCTGTCACTGCGCTGTGATCTTCAGCTCTCATTGGAGGGTTCACAGCTGAGATGAAGGTCAGCACCTTCAAATCTGTGGCCATGGTCCTCAGGCAGAAACGGTTTCCTGGATAGAATTAAAGTGATGCCTCAAGTGGAGGATTTCAAGCATTTTGGGGTTTTGTTTTAGAATGTGGGAAGAATGGATCTTGAGATTGACAGATTGGTGTGGCTTAAGTATTGCAGTCATTGTGTGTCCAATCCGCTATTCTGATTTGTCTCCGGTCCTCTTATCTAAGATCACAAACTCTATAATGACAGTAAGAACGAGATAAATGAATCGGTCAAAATTTGTTGTCTTCGCACAAAAGGTTGAGAAGTTCAGTTATCCAGGAGAGACTTCACATTGAGATGAGCCAGTTGAGGTGTTTCGGACATCTGGCGAGGATTCCCCATCCCTCTATGGCGTTATTCCGGGCACATCCAACTGATTTGCCTGGCCCTTGCCTTTCTACGCAGTTCCGATCAATTCTAGTCAAAGTGAAGAACAAGGGGCTGGTTTTTACCACTCTACCAACTGATAGGACACCTCAAGAAAGATCAAAGACACAGCGATTTATCTTGTCTGGCCTGAGAACACCATGGAGCCTTCCAGAGGAGCTGTAAGAGGCTGTGAAAAGAGATGTTTCGACCTCCCTGTTCAAACTGCTGCCCCCACAACCTGACTTTGGAACAAGAGGCACATAATGGATGGATGGATAAGTATGTATGTGGTCGGGGCGAAGATATGTTTACTGCTGTGGTGAACTTGCAACAGTGAAGTGAAAATGTTTTTGCTGCTGTTGCAAAAATAAAACATTTTGTGACTGTCAACCATTGTTGCTCAAAAGCGTGTTTATGATGTTCAGGACTTTTAGTGCCTTCAAAGATGTGAGCATTACCCTTAATGCCCCTCTGTAAATCACATGTATGCTACAAAGACTGAACAACTTTTGTGGTCTTTGCAGCTTAAGTACAGCTGTCATTAAAGCAAAGACTAAGATGTTCTGAAGTTTACTGACTTTTAGAAATAACCTTGTGTCGAACACAAAAGAATAGAACAAAAAACGTCTTATCTGTTTATTCTAAACTGTGAACACCAATCAAACAAGCAAAAAAAGTCAATGAAGATATTCAATAATATTCCCCCCCTCAATGCTTCAAGTACAGCTATTTTAATTCAGAGATGACAATAAGTTGAGTGTCACTGAGAGTGAACTGAAGGGGTTATTGCAGGACTGGTAGTAAAGTTTAGTTAGAGCACATGTGTCAAATACAAGGCCCGTGGGCCAAATGTGGCCCATGGGTGACTCCCGTGTGGCCCGCCAGGGGGGCACCCCCCAATTTTTATTTTTTTTACTTAACATGAAATTTGTTTCTTATATCAACGTAAACTTTAAATTTATGATTAAATGC